CTTTGAATTTCAATGAACTCCCATGTATCTCACGTGCCAAATCATAGCTGGCCACCTCTGTCTCATCACTCCAGTGCAAAACCAAGTGGCAAATCACTCCTCTTGAACATGACATTACATTTCCAACTGCTGGTAGAAATGGTCCAAATCAACTGAGTCCACTGAATCAGACAACAAGAAAGCAGCTTCCTAATCCATCTGATCCAGAATTACAGCCATAGGGTAAGGCCAAGACTTGTTTTGACCTGGATTTGAAAGACCTTGCCCTCCACTTTATGCCACCTCCTCCCAGTAGCCCAATTCCTCAGGGCCATTGTAAACCCTGGAGTTCCAGCCTGGGGATCACCAGGACGCAAGAACAGTGGCAGCTGAGATGTACAGAAGATTACCCCACTAGATCTACTCTCACTAAACAAATAAAGCCCTTGGGCAGACTTTTAGTCTCTCAAAAAAAACACCAAACAAGGTTCAGAAGCCAAGTGCCAACACTGATTTTACCCTTAAAGAAACACACAACATGATGGAGACTTGCCTACACCAGGATCTCAAACGAGTGGCAGCTCCTTGTAATATCACTTATGTGCACCCATCACCCCTCCCCTTCCTTCCTAGCTCAAAATTAATTCCATCAACATGAAAACAATTCGGCTTAATTGCAATTGCATCATCTTCTGCAGGATCCCACTGCCAACCCTGCCATCTGAATGTGCAGTTGCTAAGGCAACGGGTGTGAAGAGCATGTTTTTGGGCTGCCACATGCACGAGAGCTGTGCCAACATCTGAGTCCTGCAGCTGGGGTGGATTTAACGCCTTCCTCCCCAGGAGCAGCCTGTCCTTACTTCCACTGCAGGGTTGTGGCAGCCAGCCCTTGGCAAGCAGCTACTCCTCCTCTGCAGATCGACACCTGCACGAGAGGGACAGATGGCTGCAGCTCAGCTCAGCAGGATCAAGCAACAAGGATGCTGGAACAACTCAGCTCAAACATGCAGCAGTGCCAGACTCCATTTGTAGAAGGTTCAAGGCACAGAGTTCATCATGTACATAATAAATGAGAAAAGAAAAAAATCCTTTGCCATCATTTAAGAATTTTGTTCTGACAGTTTCCCATCTACCTGTTGTTCCCCTCTCATCTACTTGCAACACACAAACAGAAGTTTGCATCACAAACTTGGGCTACATGGTCCCTGCCTCAACAATTTTAAGCTGGAAAACAAGATTAATGTGTACAGAAACCTTCCCTTCAATCTCTCCGACTATATTCCAGGGCAGACTGCTTCCCAGAGTTCAGCTCTTAATACCTTTCCTATTTCTTTAAGGTGAAGGGTTTAAACTTAGGTCAGAGCCTACTTTGCCTGTGACCTTTTATATCACTTTTGAGTCTGCAAGGCTTAAGATCTTCTATAAAAATTAAGGTGCCCTGCAACCATATATACACATGTACATTTGGCAAAGAAACAGCTGACTTAAAACTTTTCCATAGATACTGAGCTGTAGCTGAAGATCACAAGCTAAATGTGCTTTTAATGGCACATAAAACTATTTGTAACAGTGGCAAACAGCCTCTCTGCTGCTACACTTGTGTAATCACAGCTAATCACAGCACACAAAAGTGCCTGTTAAAACGATCTCCAGTGTAATCCAGGAAGTCCTAAAATCCTCGAGTAGTCCTGTACAAAGCAATCATGGAGTGCATGTCTGAACATACCCACTGAGGGTTATTATTTGGCCTGTGGAGGACAACATCCGTGGTGTTAAGGTCTAGGATGTGAGAGATACATAAGGAAAAGAAGCCCGTTAGGATTTATTTCATATCAGTGCAAGGCCGAGTCTTTCACAGCCCTTTTCTCCTACAAACACATCCCACAGAAGCACAATGAACAAGCAAGCTGCAAGACACTGGTGCCTGGATCGCACAACCTGCGACCTGAAACCGCCTTTGTGTTCCCATCAATGTCTGAGGAACATAAAGGGATGTGTGAGCTCCCTCAAAGCTCAGCAGAGGCTCATCACCTCTCTTTGAAGCGCATTTTCTCACCTCTCAGATTCAGGCATGTTCCACATGCGCCAGTGTTTCCAGTACAAACACAAATGTCACAGCACACAGAGCTTTGCAACTTGTGCTCATCTGCAGTTGAACAAGAGTCAATAACCACCAACAACAGAGAAATGTGAACAAGCCAAAACTTCAGCTATTTCAGCACATGACAGCAACCTTTGCAGAATAAGCAATATCTTCAAGAAGAACAATAATTGGATCCTACAAAGCTTGAGGGGTGAGGAGGAGAGGTGGGCAGAGACCCTTATTTTGATTAAGCAAGAGCATTGCTATCACCTCATATTTTTGGCTGGAAAGAAGTGGCTGAAGGGATTAAAAAAACATGTTCAGATCTGAAAAAGGGATCATTAAATCAAGAGCCACACTCCTGAAGGGAGCTGGGGGTATGGGGAGAGGTCTGGTAAGCCAGGTAAGTGTCACTTAGAGGGGCTGTTACAATCTACATCACTCTGCCATGCCATCTTATGGCATCCCCCTTTAATGTCCACTCTCCTCCAGCTCTGGATTCTCCCCAGGCCCCATCCTGGCAGGTATCCCAGGGTGTGATGAGCTGTCATTCTGCTCCATGCCCCGAAACTGTTCTTTCAGTGTGTGGTCGTGCAACTGCTCAACCCCTGGTGCGGTGCCAGGACACCTCCCTCCCCTGCCAGAACCCCTGGACTCCGACACAAGTCCCAAACTTAAGCAGGTGTCTCTGGTCTTGTTCACAGCCAAACTGAAAAGCAGGGTTAGACTGCAGCAACACTGCCACATAACAGGCAGAGGAATTAAATGATGAAGAGCATTATCTCTGAGGGGCATTTAACCCAGGTGTTCTTACACCTGACAGCCAAGTTTTTCATGATGCTCATTCCACAGAATTTATGAGGACTGGGATACTGTTAAATATTCTGGAGGGCTGTGACCACAAATCCTGTGGAATAAAGAACATTAATGCAAAATCTGTAAAGGTAACCCAGACTAAGTGCCCAGGCAGGCAAACATGTCCTGACCCTCCACTACCTTCCAAAGGAGGGTAAAATCTTCTTAGACAGGTAGAGAGGCAGAGGGGGTGTCAGGGTTCAAATCAGCACTTGTAAATAGGAGGATGTTTCAGCTTCTGAGACACTGTATCATTTTCCACCAGTTAGAAGCAAAAAAAGCTGGTGCTGCCTCCAGTAAAGGTGCAGATGCAGAGGTCAGAGCTCCTGCATTCTCTGGCAAAAACCTCAGTCCCCCTCACAGTGCCGTGGATAAATCACCAACCTGCTCATCTCACACTTCCTAGTCTGAGAAGTAGGGAGACACTTGCTCTGTTTATTCCTACGTGCTGTATAATGACAGCACACAGCATCTTATTTCCTGGACTTTTCACTCGCATGGTGATAAGCACACCTGAAAACACTGGAAAATTGGTGAGAAGATGGAGAATGGGGCCCATGGCACACAGTGTTTCTAGGAACACAGGGCAGGTTCTCCACCTTCAGCCACATATCTGATCTTTGACACCAGTGAGTTAATCAAAGACAGCAGTGTCCCTTCTGTGGCCTGGACACAAGAGGGGTTTCTTGGGAAGCAGTTCAGCAGTCCTGTCACACGGTGTCTTTCTGTGCTGTCTTACTGAACACAAACCAGCTCTGTCTTTCCAGAAAATAAGGGTGCAATCACAGCCCTTTCGTAAAGAGCAGATGCAGATGAAAGCAAAACGGGAGCTTATAAAACACAGGGTCAAGCAAGGGAGCCAGGAAAGCACATGATAAGACTCATTCTGAAGGATCAGACTATTATTTTCCTTTATGAGTAACTAAAGAACACTGTTTACCTCTGAAGCAAGCTTATCCACTCTTTCCCCACATGCCTGCCCTGGTTGGAGGATCACTGCTGTTTGTTTAACACTGACAAAGAGGTCCTTGGGATTTCATACTTTTTGCAAGGTCAGTGAAAAAAAAAAAAAAAAAAAGAGACAAACCCGGGGTTTAGTTAAAAATGAGACAGACAAAATATCCACTGAGCAGAGTGACTGTCATTCCCGGGTATTTTCACCCCATGCTGAGCAGGACCACCACACAGAGGCAGTGTTGGCCTCAGAAAGGGGTTAGCCAGGACAGGTGGCTGAGGACATCCCAGGGCCAGCTGAGATAGCAGGGGGGCAAGAGGCTTCTCCTGCCTCTTGGCAGGACACAGCTGCCCCCAGCCCCACCTCAGCCTGGCAGAGGGAGAGAAACTCCAGGGAAATCACAGGAAAAGAGCAGGATGTATTTTGACACTAATATCAGTGGGCAGGAAAATTGCCCACTAATAAGGGGAATCTTTCTTATTTTTTTTCCCCTCACAAACAAGCAGGTTTTCCCCACAGAAAATTTCAGGGGGTTTGTTACTGCTTTTGATCTAAATGATGTGGGGCTGGTTCTAAAAAGGAGAGTCCCTCAGCTCTGCATGAGGTTCTAAAAGCCTGCAAAATCAGCCACTTAAAAATCCTTGCTCACAGCCTGAGCCTTTCTGGACAGTTCTGATCAGCCCCTTCATGGCATCCCCCACACCAGGCAGAGATTGCTGTCCCTCTGCACTGGTGTGGAGCAAGCAGAAGAGTGGGGATATTTCCCTGTTAAGATGCCAGTAAAAGTGGCAAATAGACACAAGCATCACTGTTTGCTTGCAAGACAATAGCTGTTCATTTGGAATACAAAATCCCTGGTGTGTAATTGAGGTTTTACACGAGTCAAAGGCAAAATGCACAGTAACTTCAGCATAGGTATACAGAGACCAGAGATGATATCAATCAACAGAGGAAAAATCTCCACTCCCTCTGGGTGTTGCTGCTGAGGTTTCACCAGAACCAAACTGAAACACAGCCAAGGAAGAGGGTGTCAAGTCCACGACAGAACAATGGCTTGCTCAGACACCTCTTGGTGGAGGTGCCTCTACTGGGGGAGAGGTTAGGAGTGAAAAAACAATCATCAGTTACCTTTGGGCGCTTCCATTCAACTTTCCTTGGTGGTGCTGACTGATAGAAAAGGGATCCATCTGAGGCTGGAAACTCAGGATCTTCGAAGAGCTGTCTCTGCTGGATACACTGCTCTTTCAGCTCGTGGTACTTCTGATCTCTGAAGAGTTGCACTGATGAAGGCATAGCTCCCTGTCTAGGTAAAATGAATATTGGCTTGTACAAATTACAAAGGCTCCTTAAAGTCCATAGATGATACCAGTCATTAACACATATAACTTGTTTCAAAGGAGATTACTGATTTATTTAAAACAAAACAACCCAGATTATAAATTAGATTATGTTAAAGTAGTGGACTAGAAAATTATAAAACCCAAAAAGATCCTATATATAAGGGTCATATTTTTGTCTGAACAGAATTCTTATCAGGAAAGAGTCCAGATCAGTCACAAACCCAGCATTTTACTTTGTCTGATTGATTTGTAAGGTAACAGAGCAGGGCTTGGCTCTCAGTCTGCACCATGTGTGAAGGGCTGGACCATCTTTCTGTCATACATTCTTCGTCTGGCCACTAAAGCTCTAATTATCTTCTCCAACTCTTATGCCTAAAAAAACCCAAACCAGATTTCTATGGTTCTCCATCTCAATTTAAGTGAAAATATTTTGGCTTGTACTGTTGTCTTTGAACTTTATGTTACATTTCAGGGAACTGAATTCCCAGAAGTAGCAAATAGTTGCAAATAATTGGTGAGAGTTTAAAATACTTCAGAAAGCACAACAACACTAAAAAAGATGAAAAAATGTGCTCTCAGGACTTAATTCCCGGAGTCCTGATTATCTAACCTGACAAGTTTATGGTTGCAGCCACAGAGCTCAAATAAATTGCTTTAAAACATTTTACAGTTGAGAAATAAACTACAGAAACCATTCAGGACAGTTTGAAGTTTGGAAGACATGAGGGATATTATCTCTCCTTCAAGAAAGGGAGTGGTGAGAGCATCTGAACTTACTCTGGAAGCTCCTCTGTGTCAATTCCTCTCCTCTTCCTTCTGGACACAGGTCAGAGATTTATCTCCCCTTCCTTCAGTTATCTACAGCAATAAAGACAAATGCAAGTTGTCCTATGTCAGACTATAAGAACTAACCAGCACAACTGCTCTGGAGCACGACACCACATCATCCTGGCAGCCCACTTGCTGTGTCCAGCTGCAGTGTGATCAGCTGGTGCTCCTTAAGCCATTTGCAGCATGAATTGGATGAGGTTCCACACATTTGCAGAAAAATTAAACCAAGGCTTTGCAGGTGTGAGCACAACAGGAGGAACACAGAAGAGTAACGAGAAACACTTGGAAATGTCAAATTTATCATGGTCTTTGTTCTTCTGAGTGAAAGATACCGTAGCCTGAGTAGTCTGTGGATGGGTTCAACACCTTCTCTTTCTCCCTTTTTCTCACCCTCAACTCCCACCTCCCCTCTCCCGTCCCAATAAATCAAATGGTAGTTCAGTGATGAGAAATGTTGCTCTAATACCTTCACTAATGGGAATGAGGAGAGTATTCAGGAGTGCTCTTCTACCTCTCTGCCATTCTTGCACCCATCTGCCCATGAGCATAAGCACGGCCAGATTTCTGCCAGCAGAATCTTACACAGCAAAGTGATGGAACAAAGAACCAGTTTATTCTTGATATTTTGAGCAGGCAAATCCTTCAAATGCCATATCATTCTCCGTCCTTTCTCAGGGCAAAAATCCAGCTATAAATTTTGCATACATCAGGACTGTCATGACTTTGAGTCAAATCTTGATGCTGCTGGAATCAGTGGAAAAAATCCTACTCCTTCAGTCAGGCCACGGGTCTCCCTTCCAAAAGTGGACCATGAAGTCCCTTGGTGACTGTGTAATCCAGCTTCAATAAAGCAAAACTACACTTAAAACTACACTGATACTATGGCATTTTTAGCAAATTCCTTTTTCTTAAGGGCTATTTCACAAGAGCATGGAGTGACAGGGCAAGGGGGAATGGGTTCAAACTGCAAGATAGTAGGTTTAGATGAGATATTAGGAAGAAATCCTTCCCTGTGAGGGTGTTGAGGTCCTGGCACAGGTTGCTCAAAGGAGCTGTGGCTGCCCAATCCCTGGAAGGCCAGGTTGGATGGGGCATTCAGTGGAAGGTGTCCTTGCCCGTGGAAGGGATTGAAAGTGGATGGTCTTTAAGGTCCTTTCTAACCCAGGCCATTCCATGATCCTGTTATTTTCTTTTCAATTATGTCTCTCAAAAAAAAAAAAAAAAAGTCAGAAGGCATCTCACTTGGCAGGTGGCCTCCCAAGACAAGGTAAATAGACTTGCTTCCCCTCACAAACCAATTTTTCAATTTCAAGTGCAGAACAACTTGTTAATTATACAGAGATAGCTCAGGGTCCACAAAACATAGTTTGACTAATTTGGGTGGGATAGAAATTATTTCATGATAACTGGCATTCTCGCCTATTAAAAATTCCCCACAAGCTAACTAACAGTCTAAACCGAGCCTATTTGTTTTTAAAATAGCCCCTGGGTGATAAGGTTTCCAGCTGTCACTGCCTAATTCATTGAGATAGGTCTTTAATGACCTCATTCCCCTGCCCTTTCTCTCTCCCTGTCTGCCGGACTGGAACGTGAGTCCTTCCAGGATTAACACCCCATTACACAACAGCCAGTGTCCTGGCACTGCACAGGATGTGGTGATAAAGCACAGCACGTGAAATCAGGCTGCTGTCTGCTCACCCTGGGCTGCACAGGGCAGTGCTCACCAAGGGGAGCTCACAAGGAGGAGGTTTCTCCTGCCCGGCTCTTAACCTGCCCCTCCCCACGCTCCCTGTGCCGTCCAGAGCACACAGTGGAGTGCGTGTCTCAGGGACTCGGGCTCCTGGGGCTGCCCAGCCTGGCTGCTTCCCATCCACCCAGGAGACACTGAGCTCTGGAGCTGAACTGAAGTCCCATCACCGTCTGGAAAACCAGTAGGAACCCACTTTCGCAGGAACGCAAAACTGTCTTTTTTAAACACAGCAAAAGTATCTCTTTGTTGTTGGAAAATCCACAGTCAAGAGTGTCAGTGCAGTTTCTATGCAACAGCCTGGTGGTTTGAGCCCTGAGGATGGAGGACCACAGCTGAGCCCTCCTATCCTGGGGTGTTCACCCACCAGGACGTGGCCTGAGGCAGACAGCAAGCACTTGGCTCCCATTCCAAGATCTTTTTTTTTAAGCAGCTCCCAGTTTTTGACCCTCAGTTGATCAGTGAAGCTCCCAAAATAAGACCCACGCTCCCTCCTCCTTCCTCCAAGTCACGGTGCACAGCAGCACAGCTTCCCCTGCCCCACACCCAGCAGCTTTACCCTGGTTCAGCTGGCACTCCCAGTGCACAGCACTGAGGAAACACCGTGCAGGGCTTGGCAGCCACTCTGTCCAGGGCTGCCTGCACTGCCATGTGATACAGAATGAGCTGAGCACAGTGCAGTGAGGGCTAAGAAACACAGTCCTAAAAATACCATACCCCAGCTCAGAGACACTCTTACTGCTCTGCAGTGAGAAAGGGACCACTCCAGGGGAGGGACAGAAGAGAGAGGAAGAAGGAAAAAAACAACCCTGAAGAGTTCTACAGGTCAGCCATACTTATATTTTTTGTTTATTCCCTCACTATATACAATTACAGTTTTGCTTTTAATCTTTTCCAGCCTCTGAGCTGAGCTCCCCAGGACTTCTTGTCTCCAGGCAAAACAACTCCACAGCTGCCCTCAAGGTTCCTACAGCACCTGTGGTATCAGCAGAAGTACAGGAGGTCCCACATCTCTCAGCTTTCAACCTCTGGGCTTTAAAGTCTTTGTCTGACCCTCTGTTTTACCAGAGTGAGTTTCCTATTTTGATTGGAAAAAGGGTTTCAGTGGAAGAGTGAAGCTGAGTCAGTGCAGAGTCCCCTCCTGAGCCTGACCACGGAACGATTTCATTTTTACTTACAGTTTATACTCAGAAATGCTTCCCCCATCAGAGCCAGCCAGAGCACGACTAAATCACATTCAACACAGCAGCAAATACCAGCTCCTGGCCTTACGAGCAGCCATAAATTAAAGAGACATTCACTTGAAATCCAGGTCCTCACCAGAGCATTAAGATGAGATTCAAGTGTTACTTCAGTTATCCAACAGTGTTTCTTTACACTCACATTTTCCTTTCTTAACTTTTCTCTTTCCCAGCTGCTGCATGGAAGATCCACAACAAACAACACTGACTTACTGTCCAGACAGGTGTGTGAGGGATAACCACACCCTCACTTCCCCTGGATTCATGCAATAAGCACACAAAGCTGAGCAAAAGTCATGTCCCCTCAGCCCGTGTTTTTAACTCTGCGTAACTAAGTGACAGGCAGGGTAAAGACTCAGGGAGGGCAGCTATCGCAGCTGTTAAGCCGAGCACACCCCCACGGCGAGCCTGTGAGTGTGCCAAGCATCCCGCCCACTCCCACTCCAGCCAGAGGGGTTCAGGAACAGCGGGACCAGTTTTGCCTTAACCAAACCCAGCACTCTCAGTCCCGGAGGCGAACGCTGCCAAGCAGCTGCAGAGAACCCTCGGTGCCAGATGAAACTCCTCTGCAAGGAGGAGGCTTGGTGTGTTGTAACACTTAACATCTTATCACACACCCCACTTTTTCTGTTCCAGCTGCAAAACTCAAAGGAATTTCCATGCACAGCACCAGGACTACAAGGACAAAGTGCATTTCCAGCCAGGATTTAAGGTCACAGTTGGACACAGCTTTGAACACGAAACTGCTTTTCCAGAGGTGGATCCTGAAATCAAGCTGCACAAGTTCAGGCACATCCCAGCCTCAGGACCACATTCCTGCTGGTTCAGGAGCCCCCATCTGGGAAGACGTTGGAGAGATGCCAGAAAGGATATACAGAGCATATGCCACACTCTAGGGTGGCATCCTAGGCTAGGAGAGCTGGGGCAGTTCAGGCAGGAGAAGAGAAGAGGCTGGGGAGACATTATTGCAGCCTTTTAGTACCTAAAGGGAGCTTATAAAAAAGAGGAAGAGTGACTTTGTACGCAGGCAGAGAGTAGAGACAAGGAGGAGTGGTTTTAAGCTGAATGACAGGAGATTTAGATTGGATATTAAGAAGAAATACTTGTCTGTGAGGGTGGGGAGGCCCTGGCACAGGTTGCCTGGAGAAGCTGTGGCTGTCCCATCCCTGGAAGTGTTCAAGGCCAGGTTGGACAGGGCTTGGAGCAACCTGGGCTAGTGGAAGGTGTCCCTGCCCATGGCAGGGGGTTGGAACTAGAGAACCTTTAAGATCTCTTCCAACCCAAACCATTCTGTGATTCCATGAACCCAGTTTTAAGATTATTACCCATTTGCAGGTACCAAGCTTGCTTTTGTTTCATGTAAGCAGTCTCCTCACCAGTAATAACAACCACCACCACCTGGTTTCTGAGTTTCTCTTTTGTACCTGCAGTTGTGGGCCCATCTTGACAAGACACAAAAACCTTTCAGCTCTAAACTTTGCTCCTTCGAAACTTACTTCTCCCCAAACCTCAAAGCCACTGTTTGGTCTATGAGAGCAAAACAAGGACTCAAGTATTTCACTGTTTGCAAACATAGTTTAATATTTTCCCAAACATCTCTTCCTCAAAACACATAGTTTACTTCAGAGCAATCAAGTCAGTAAGTGCCTCCAAAAAGCAGTCCTGCAGCCTAAAGCTTTAAATTACTCTGAACTGGTTTTCTGTAAAACCAGAAAACTGTAAAACTGCCAATTAAAGGCACTTCCAGAGCTCCATCTGGAAAAGGTTATTGCCCTCTCTTCCTGTGCAGAATGATCACAGGTCCTTACAAAGCAGTGACTTTGCAAATCTGTATTAAGAGTGCAGGGAAACTTAAACCAGTTTTAAAGCTTCCACTTCACATACTCTATGGTTTCGTGATCTTGGCTGTTCCACTGCTACCTCTGCAGAAGAAGCATCTCTTCTGGAGAAATTTACTCATTCAAATTCTTTAAACAACACACTAACTTCTCTGAGAAGCTTTATGCTGGACTGAGTGTCCTCTCTTCCT